GCTGCGAAGTATACATTTAGATACTCCAAACTTACCGTATCCCCAGTATTTATTACGATCGTCAATTTGGCCCCTTCTTTCAAACCTGCTGCGATCAACTGCGAGTCGTCATCTGAAACAGAACTTAGAAATTCTCTTGATGGTCTCAGACGGAAGAACGCACCGTGGAGGGGCTTGCCCGCATTCAAAACTTTGAACGATCCTTGTGGAAGCAGCATTGTATCGGCAATTTTCATTTTGAGATGTCGTACTTGTACTTGTGGTAGAAGCTGAAGAAGAACCAGGATGAGGACAAGGTTATTAGCTGGTTAGTCCAGCTCACAACTCGCCATACACTTCTCTTTGCTCCTTGATCCCTTTGTAAACCGAGTTATTCCGAAGCGGCAAAAAGCTCTATGCTCTAAGCCAGCTCGCCTAATTTAAAGAACTAACGATTTCTTAGTTTGGCTCCGCACACTGAGGCGCTCTAGCGATGCACAACAGGGCAACTGAAACGTTTCGACAGAGCCCCGCCCACCTGTGCATACTCCGCCCACAATGGGGTTCGAATGTTCTTCGCTAATACCTATTCGTTTTTCTCCTGGCTTCCGTGCACTTTTTCATCCATCTTATAAATTTTGGGTCTTACCTTCACCCATATTTATCGCATTCGAAGCATGAGAGAACAAAAGAATAGGAGAACAGAAGCTTGAGAGAATCCGCGCCAAAGCCTTTAGATGCACGGTGATTGCTTCTAATACAAGACAGTTATGGTTATAATTAATTAATCAAAAAGTGCTTCACCCCTGTTGCTAATTCTCCCATCTTTCCATTTTCTCGATCAATAACTATCTTTATCATTTCACAAACTCTCCAATCCATTTGAAACACTATGTACGAACACGGCCTCACTAATCACCTTCCTCTCATGTTTTCTAAACAGTCGAGTCTCGAATGCCATAGTATTCAAAACAATCTTGAATCCATTGCCAAAACTGCAAAAGCACGTGGCTAGCTCATTCGAAGTCATGATATCCCCTTCTTCATGAAAAATGCAATTCCCTCGTAGCGCCAGTTGAACTATGGGTTCAATACTTAGTGCATCTCACTGCACTGTCTGAGCGCGTGTTTTGCATAATCCTACTAAATTTCAAACAGTAGATGGACCCACGTCAATCGTCACTGCGTCGTCCTTCGCGCCAAGTAGTTTCGCCGTGAACTGCATAATCTGCACACAACATAGGATCGAATTCGAAAGACATCAGAAGGTTCAACGTCGAACAAAAAATCAGTAGGACAAAATCGAAGCATGGAACGGTACAGAATCTTTCGAGTTCTGGCACTACTCAACTATCACAATCCCGGAATGCGAAAAAATTGCCGAAATTTCATCAGTTTAACCTATTGTACAACAGGAGGCAACAAGGAGTCTAAATGGCTTCTACGCCAAAATGCTGCTTCATTCCGACAATAGCACTGAAAACCCTGTGGACACAAATCTAGGAGACATCCTGAAAAATATACGCTTACAATATTGAATGGCCTGCACTTGGTCCGAGCCGGAGTTGGACGCTCGAAGTGCTGACTAGAGACAAAAATCCCTCGTGAATCTTTACGAACATCAGGAAGCGCAGATCATGGGTTGGGTGAGCGAGCGTAGCGGTAACTGAAAGACAACTCACCCATAGGAATAATTGAGGTGAGGAGAGTACAATGCACGTAACAAATATCTCCTAACAGAAACTCGTGGCAGATTATCTCCGAAACGCTCAAAAACGCAGAGCACTATCAATGCACCCAGATAAATTGATCTAATGACTCAGCGCTTCCCCTAGCTCAACGATCTGGAGAACCGGCGATTCGCGAACAGTAGTTGCAAAGGTGATGAGGACAATTGGCAAATTTGCCGACTGTCCGAATCTTTGAGTATGATCCCGCTCCAAAACAAGTGCAGTACAAGACCAATCAACTTGCAAACTGGTATTTAATAGGAGAAGTAACCGCGATCCGCAACAAATAATTACGGTATAAACGAGAAAAATCAATACAAGAAATTCATGAGGGAAAGGCCAGAAGAAGTTCACCCGAACCTTCGCGGCACAGAGCACAGCGCATATGGCATTTATAGGCAGTGAAACACGCACTGGAAGCTAGCGATGTTGGATGTTCAATGGGCGTTTCATCTGAGAAGGAATTGGTCGAGGGCTGCCTATCGCACCTCCAGCAAGATTTGATCCTATCCATCGACGTCCCAACGACTCAACCAAAAGCGCTTCTAGCCGTACAGCCTCCAGCCATCGTGTTCTCTGCCTTTAAGACTCAGACTACGCCAAGCCAAAGCGATCAATTTCCAGCTTGCTCAAAGGCGTTCCATGCGTCATTCAGCTCGGTGAAGATCGCCCTTGCCAATTTCTCATGCGGTTTACCAACTTGCTTGTCTGGATGCACAACCAAACACGCTTTGTGATAGTTCCGCTTCACTTGAGCTGCACTCAGTAAATCTCCCATTCGTGGCTGCTCCCAGTTCTCCGCACCTTCCCAGAGAACATCACTCAAGGAGCTGAGGAGGGCTCTTATGTTCCTCTCTTTACCACCTGTCCAGTCACGAATCTTCACTGCCACTGGATCCATTTCCTTAACCTCTTCGGCTCTTTTAAGATCACCCAACGTTCGAGCTGCATTCTTCCACGATGGTGTGAACCCATGGCTCGAGAGAAGATCGCCAAAGACGTCACGGGTGACTTTTGGTTTTGGCGCCAGACTGCTGTTCCTATTCTCCAACGCCATCTGACTGAATTCCGCTCTGGATGGCAGTGAGGTCGTGGAACTGCTACTCGCAGTTGACGCTTGCGTGCTGCCAGTACTGCTCGTGAACTGTGAAAGAAACTCTGCGAGCGGATCGAGACCGGCCGAACTGGTTTGGATGTTCGGTGCCGAAGCACTGCAGTAAATTGACGATAAAGCATCGACGTTGAGCAGATTGTTAGAAGATGACTGCTCGCCGAGGAGATCGTCAATGACAGAAGCAGCATCTGATGGACCTGCAGTGGCAGATGAAGCCGGCCACCTATCTTTCGATTCGGAGAACGGATCCGCCAGCGGCTTAGCGAACTCGACTGGTGCTTTTGGAACAGCAGGCACTGGTGATTCACTGAGATCCACGAGCAAGCCAAACTCGGTAGAAATGGCACATGGAGGTGTGGACCCAGTGAGTATCGGCGTCTCGTTCTCATAACCAAACCGAAACCTGTCCGTTTCCGAGTACTCCTTGTGATAATCCATTTCTATTGTAGCCTGGCGCTCATAAGCTCCAGAGGGTTCCATACCATGTGGTCGAGACGAGCTTCGGCTACACGTTGTCATCGCTGTCACTGTAACATTATGGTAATGGAACTTAATACAGTATCGATGATAACAGACACCGGCGTCGGTCATCAGGCCAATGTCGCAGCGGCGCTGCGAGCGGCTTGGCAGGCGCAATACACAGTGTAAGGCACCGTATCCAGCCAGATTTGCTTCCGTCCAATCTTGTTTGCTGAATGGAAAGGCGCCGGGTAGAGAATTCCAGAATCCTCTTCTCCTTTTACCCCCTATCCCCTTTTCGTTTGTTTCACGAAGGTGTTGAAATGCCCGTCCAATTCAGAGAACTGAAGGCAAAACGAGGTTGGTTCTAGATGTACCAACACTGAGCAGCTAATCTGACACTGAAAGATTACGGTAGACGGGGAAGCGAAGCAAGCTGTACCCCGCCGCAACGTTGGCCTCATTACCCGACGCTCTAAGAAAACACATTCAATTCACACTTCACAGACTGGCGATGAGAGACAATATCAGTGGAGGATCGACCATTTCAGCGACCAACGAAATAGTTATTCAAAAAATGCTTTACGGAAATTTTTCAATTTTAAGTAAATGCGAGCGGGTAATAGGATACGAATACCTGAAAATACCGACAAATTGCCTAGCATAATTGAATGAAATCCAAAAATCAATGAAAGCGTAGTGAGGATTCGACAAACATCTCTACTGGTGCATTAGAACGTACAAAGAATCGTACCGACCGCTGAAATGAGTGCTACAATGCGCAGGTCGCGAGCGGCAGACTGCATTCGAGGCGGCGACTACCGTGCCTTCAGCAGTGGCAGACGGGGTTTACCCACAGTTTCCTCGAGGAAACCAATTACGATCCCAGCACTGAATTAGCAATGGAATCGATTCAGGAAAGGGCCGTACGGCCCAACTCTCGAAATTTTGTTTAACCCATTCGCGACCGCGCGGGATTGCGCATTAGCAGGAGAGTCAGAGATTTTTCTACAATAAAATTTGAGTGGATGGAGATTTCCCCTGCCCAGGGCTGGCGTAGATGAATGAGGGTATGAAGATTCTTTCAGGAAGAAAACTTTCCAAATTCCATTTGAAACACGGCAACAACCGTAGATGCCCATCGCCCCGAGTGAGATCTTTGGCAGCCACGCAATGACTGCCTCGCCACGATGGGTTAATGCAATGGTAGACTCTGACGAGGGTTCGCAACATTCCTAGGTAATGATTCAAAGGTTAGTGCTCGACGCGCTTTGATTCACAAACTTCACCTCAGCAGTTTGAAAAGAGGTGCCTAGGAAGTGATGGGACGTTTCACGAATGCTCCCCGATGAGCCCAGACAAAAAATCAAGGCGCTCAAAACTAATGAAAAGCACAGCCGTCAATCTACTGAGTGCGAACGCCCAAGCCTGCTAGAGGATACGGTAGCTGCTCAATCGTAACGAAAAAACGCGCGTCGGCCATGTAGTCGCCTCATTCCTTGCGAGCGTGCGGAACGTGGCAGTTCAAATTTTAGGAGCAGCAGTTCATATGTTACGACAAGAAATGAGGCAGAAGTTGTCGAAAGACAAAGCTGTATTACCGGCAAACTAAAAGAGTGCAAAAGCAAATATTTTTCTGAGGCCACAGTTGAAATTGATTTCTTTGGGGAAAATATGTCATGTACATGTAAAATCCATGCTAGTCTTCCTACATCTACCAAAAATGCCAGCAAGGACCTGCATAGCGCACTACTTAATGATGCAATGGTCCCACGCTGGGTCCCCAATGGAAGCGAGCTGGTCAAGCCCGTCAGGTCTTCCTGATTCCCCTGTCAGCCTTCACTGGCACCAGGAAAATTGTCACCGAAATCCCCAAAAGCAATCTTGTGGGGCTTTAAGGCCCATGGTCCGTAGCTGAAGACATAGCGGCTTGAAAATCTCTGCACCCGGCATTGCGTTAGGGTAAAAGATCCCCCGTGACTTCCTTTATTGCCTCGACCGCACTTTTATTTCACCCTTATTTTGCGGATCGATAGAGGTAGAGTATAATGTTGGGAATAGCCTATCGAATCATCCATTTTCAAATTGCAGCCACTGTAGCAAATACTCAATTTCCGATCATTACTATTCAATTTCCGCTCCGTCTTATGCGTAACGCCGTTATCCTTGAAAAGGCAAACACAGGCAAGGGGTGAGGAACCCATCAGAAATTCGGTACAACCGCTGTAACAGTCATCTTTCACACGTAGATCGGTACCGACAGCAGTCGATCAGCTTTCGCATCGGCTTCCGGCGGTCGAATCACTGGTATGTGCAATGAAAGAAATCGTTTCTGACCAATAAATGGCTCCACTATGCAAACACCTGAAAAACACACAACTGACCGCAGAAATAATGCAGCCAACCAGTTTAGCTATAAGGAGGGGGCCATAGATATATCCCAACAATCAATGATAAAGATATCTTTAACACCTACGTGCATTCACAAAGTTCAGGGAACAGTCGTCGAATATCTTCGGGAAGACGGTCACCAAAATAGAACTCGTCCACGGACCTCATCAGGCACCGAGAGCACAACGTTCAAGTAGCGCTCCTCATTCGTTGACGCTGGCGGCGACAGGTCGAACTCGCGGGCTGCAGTTCTTCTGCAAAGTATCTATCGAAAAACAACTTCCCCCGGAAAACCTGCCAAACCTTACCATATTTGCGATTCGAAGTTTCTTGAGGCGAATTGTCCGTAGGCTCTGTTTCGGAACCCGACGTCGAAGCGGCAGACGACGTGCCACTGCCGGCAGTAACGGGCGATTCTGAAGTGCAACATTCAAGCTTGATTTTCGACGTTCGGGGGAACATCAAATAGGAGTAATGTTTCTCAAAGAAAACTGGAAAGCACAACATTTGCAAACATCGTGTCACCAAATG